CTTATTGCTATGTGGTCTATTTGTGTCCAGCGATGGTTTGATGATGGCGGTCGCTAGGTCAAACAGTGTCTCTCCTTGTGTTTGAAGTTAGTGCTTACAAGAAACAAATGATTATCTGAACAGAACCTGTGCATCGACCAACCCATGCTTATTCCTAGACTACTACACATCTGTCCAACTACGTACCCAACGACTAACCAGTCATTTCGAAAATAAATCTGTTATTATTCATAATCATCGGTTCACTTTTATTCATGCTCTGTACTTCGAAGAAAAAATGGATACATTTTAACCCAACCCACTACCCCAAATATGTAATTAAATCCCTCACCACTCGCATCCAACACATCTGTAGTCGCCATGTTCTAGAAACTGAATTAGATGATTCGAGAGAAATCTTCATCCAAAATGTATACCCAACAAGAGTCATTCATAAATATATCAAAGGAATAATTCAGAGAAGTGAAATTTCACTTCCGCCGAAATCAAACTCTACATGGACTTGGAAGTCAAGGGAGATTCAAAAGGCGATATTCTCAAGAGGAGGATCCCATCATCTCTGAGAAAAACATTCTCTGCATCAAGGCAAACAATAGTGTTCTCCAGTCACCCACTGATCTGAAGAAGCTCTTAAGACAAGATGTCGCATCTGGCTACCACATCTGTGTGCATATATCAGTTCACCTGCTGCTGTTGTGCAGTCAGCAATGTACATCGGTCGTTCGACGCTCATCCTATTGAAGATGATCCAGCCAGCATGGTTTCGAAAATTCAATAGTGGTGCTATGAGGAGTGGGATAAGTGAACACTTGGTCAACACTCATCATTCAATCTCAACAAACTCCTCCTGCTTCAAAGTAATCTACACAGTCAAGAATAACCTACCAAATGCAATACACTCACGTCTTATTTGTATTGCTGAAGCTGTGTCCATTCACATAAAGAAAACTGAGCTGTGCATACGAGGGAGAATTGCTCAAACACTTCTACTATCATGGTAACAAATTTGTTAATTTTTCATGACTTAATTTTGCATGTTTTCTTGTCTCTCTAATCGCTCATAAACCTTGTCCAACAAAATGGATTATCTTCAATCCCTAATGTATTCTAATGTTTATCGAAATGCTGGCGTTTTAGCAATACAAGAGACTTGGCTGCACCAGCATTATGATGATAATCTAGTTTCAATAAATGGATATAAAGTTTTTCGCCAAGATAGAAAAAGTTCTAAGAAAAAATGTGGAGGAGGGGTAGCCACTTTTATAAACACAAGTTGGTCTACATCAAATCACGTTTGCTTCAATTATTCTAATGACAATATAGACTGCATAACCGTCAGGTGTCGCCCAAAACACTTAAGTAAATATTCTTATATATACATAACAAATATTTACATAACACCCAATTGTAGCCTTTCAAATATAGTTACGTTTGCAGATGAATTTACTGAATTCGCCGCTCCTGCATTCGGAAACTCGTTGTCTATAGTCTGTGGTGATTTTAATTCATGTGATCACAGCTTTCTTACTTCACTTGGTCATGAGAATCTAGTCAAGTTTAATACACGTCTGGACAAATCACTAGACCTGGTTTTCATAAACGACCGTGATGTATACGAAAACCGAAGGAGAGCTCCTTTGCTAAACTCTGACCACTGCATTATTCGTATTTTACCGAAAGTGTACGGCAAGTTACAACAAAAATCGTTTGGTCATTTAACAAAGAAGATACATGAACGTTCATATTCCCATGACAACATTCTAGCACTAAGGAGCATGTTGTATGATACCAACTGGGAACTATTTACTGACGATAAGTTGGATGATACTGTCTCTAATATAACCGATTATCTGAAGTTTTGTTTGGATATTTGCCGTCCATATGAAACACTGTTTTCGAGATTTGACAGAATCTCTTCTTTGCAACTGAAAAAAACTTAGAAGACTAAAAGAGAAGTTGTATAAGAATTGTGATAATACTGGTGTCCGTAAAATAAACACCCTTATAAAAATTGAAATAGAAAGGTTGAACAGACTATATAATGAAAAATTTTTATCATGTAAAAATCCTTCAAACATTTGGAAACTTTTCAATAAACTTACAAGTAAAAAACAAATGTCTGTTGGTGCTTATTCTGATGTTAATGCTTTAAACAAATCATTTATCATGAAACAAACTAATATGGTGGTACCTGATGTACCTAGTGAAGATAATGGTCATTTTCCGGGTTTTAAAGAAAAGGATGTACTATTATGTTTGAAATCTTTAAATCCAACACACAGCCTTGGTCCAGATGGTGTACCAAGCATTCTTCTTCAAAAGTGTGCAGATATCTTGTGTCATCCTCTTACTCAAATCTTTAATGCATCATTTAAAAGGGAAACGGTACCTGCTGACTGGAAAGAAATCAAGGTTGTACCTGTACAGAAATCATTTTCTGGAGCAGGTATAAAGTTTAGACCGGTCGCTATAACATCTCCTTTTTTGAAAACTATGGAGAAACTTCTTTTGAATATTCTTAAACCTTCTTTAAAAGCTTTTAGTGACCCTAAGCAGTTTGCTTATAAGTGTGGAAGAAGTACATTAGATGCAGCCATTGTACTACACCACAATATTGTTTCCTGCCTTGATAAGGGTGCTAAGTTCGTTCGAACAGCTTTTTTAGACTATACTGCAGCTTTCGACTCTGTTCCTAGGACACTTTTATTAGGAAAGATGATTTCAGCACAAACAGAGTCCTGGGCAACTAGATGGCTGTCTTCTTATTTTAAGGATAGGAAACAGCATACTGTTTTGACTGGAAAGCGCTCCACTTCTCAGCTAACTGAAAGTGGTGTGCCTCAAGGTGCAGTACTTTCTCCATTTCTTTTCTTTTTCTTTTTGCATGACCTTCCGGACTCACCCAAAGTTAACTTCATTAAGTATGCTGATGATCTGACCGTTTCTGTGTCCCTGTGGTTTCCACATCGGATTGTTCCCATATGAATGGCTTCTTAGCTGAAGTTAAGGATTGGTCTGGCTCAAATGGTCTTAAACTAAATCCAACTAAATGTAATACTGTTGATTTCAGCTTGAGAAGTGAAAAAGACATGCATGGATTGATCCAATCTCATGATTGTTGTAATATTGATGGTACGATGATAGAGAGTAAGTCAAGTGTTTCTTATCTTGGCATTAGTTTCTCTTCAAACCTTTGCTGGTCGTCTCATATTCTTATAGTTTCTACGAAAGTTTTCCGTCTGACTTATTACATAAAGAAGTTGAGGCACTCAGGTATAACCCAACCTCTTCTCATACAGTTTATTAATTCATGTGTTTTGCCCATCATTCTTTATTGTTCTCCATTATTCTTCCCTGGGCTACTCAAGAAAGATCATATAATACTACGAAGAACATTGAAGGCTGTAAGTAGGGTCAGTGCTATCCCTTTGACTCAACTAACTGACACTGTTGTCAATAGGCATATGAATTCTTGTAAACACTTAGCTGAAGTTATTTTGTCTGATGGTGAACATCCTCTTTATTCACAATTGTTTCCTTGTATCTCTTCGGGTAAGACCAGAAGAAATTTCATAAACATTTATGCTCGTACTACAAAATATAAAAATTCGACCGTACCATATTTGGCACGAGTATTGTGTGAAGAGACAAATATCAGAAAAGAACTTTTACAACTTTTAAATCATTAACTAAACTATAAACTGTAATGATGCATATTAATGCATGTGTTATTTGTTATATTATTTATTTATTATTATTTTTTCCTATTAACTATCAATATCTTAACATTTTATACATTTATATCATTATAAACAGAGCTAAACCATTGTAATATGTTAAAGAAACGCTGAAAATTCCATGCTGTAAATTGTTATTGTTGTGGAATAAAGTGATTATTATTATATTATTATTCCTACAAAAAATAAACTTTGACAGTCTGACCTCAGATCATTTCTGACCATTAGTATAACAGCAAACTTTTGGTTCAAAAGGTAAGCTAGGTCAGACTTAAGTCAGACTAGTTAGTACGACAGTGATGTTTTGTGTATTTAACCAATAGGTTGCAACAAAGAAGCGCTAGATTTTTAGATCCATCGATTAGGTACTGACCTTACAACGATAGGATAGAATAATTTAGCCCACATACTGCAGCTTAAAAAAATTATTCTTATTAAATAAATAAACATTTTATCCATTTGCTAAACACATGCGAAACAGGCAAAGAAAAAAAGTTATTGTATTTTCTGATATATTCATAACACATTCTGCAGCTTATCGTCGGTTATACTTACTTTACTTTACTTCGGCTATCTCCTGCGGGAGGATGAGCCGGCTTCATGAATAAGAGTTCATGAAGTTTCATGGGAATTTGGTACGAGTGATGTCCCCAGAATCGCTCGGCCTTTTGTTTGAGAGTGCAGCTCTAGCCTTTACACAACCAAGTGTGACCTACAAGGCAGTAGGAGTGGAGTAGGGAGTCCACTATCCATTGGCAGCCGGTGACTGGAATTCGGTTCATACACCTTTTTGAATGGGGACAGACATCCAGGACATCCAACAAACCCTTTGTCCATACGTCTGCCGGTGAGCTCCAGTGAGCTTCATACGCCAGTCGTTGGAGGTTTGGAATCAGGGTTTAGCCATCTCCCCTAGACTGTCACCCAATGGACAGTCAACCCGGTGAAGAGCGCCGGGCATCCGCTTCCGCCCTCTCACGTTGGTGAAAAACACCTCCGCCACGTGAAGGCAGTGAGTAGGACTTCCTCAGGAGAGGCTATGTAAGACGCCCGGTCATATGGGAGCATTTCAAGAGGTGTGTGGAGGGGTGGCCAACCCGCAGCGCAAGGCACCCACCCCCGACCATCCTGAGGCTTTGGAGGCTATCGTCAGTTATCACTTGACAGCACAGTTTTCATCCAGTAAGTTTTACATGTTATTATTTGTTTTGTTTTTTTGACAATGAGTAATCATTTCCGATCACATTATACCTTTCTTCATAGGGTACATTCCAACAGATGTGGATATCAAGTCAAGAGTATAGTGAATTAGGCAAAGGCTGTGTGGATAAAAAATGTGCATAAAACTGTAGACATATATATTTTAAACACGCGTAACTGTAGGATGTTTTCTTCCAAGGACAATGTGTATTATATTTTTTATTCTTTGTTTGATCTTTCGCTTTTACCCCCTCTCCCCTCCCTCCGGTTTTCTTTCTTCTTCACGGTATAATCATCTTATTGTGTATAAATAATAAACGGTGTCATTTGCATTTTTATTATTCCGTGTTGTGTCTTAAACACCTAATAATATAATATAATATACATGCATTTATTGTGCTTATCTAATCTATCGTGTTCCGTATTGTGTTTTCCTTGAATTACATAGTTATTCACAAGGATAATAATATACCTTGAGGTATGCTTTTCAGTAATATGTATCTTGGAAAATGGGGAACTTTGATATGTTTCGATGATTAATACATCTAAAATGCTTTAAAATGAAATTTCAAATCATCGTGTAGAGCAATCATTTGTTTGGGAATTCCTTCATTGGGTGAATTTTGAAATACTCTGATTAAATCAGTGGATTTGTGTCTGTCCTTCTAACATGGTTTTTGGGAAAAGCTCGGAGATCGTATTTTTGAAGTTCAGTGCTGTAATTTTGTTGGTTTTACATTGAATATCAAGAAGCGGACCCCTCAGTGGAGCACAGGTAGAGTTTGATGAGGACAGACTTGAGACTGACCCCTCCCCCCCACGAAATCAAGTGTTTCATTTTCAGTTTTCTGCCCACTGTGTTGTGAGGATGTCGCTCATTTGGTTAAGCACTAGGTTTTTAGTCGATGGTTAATGGGTGGTAACATCAGCCCTCTGTCTGTCTGTCTGGATTCAACATAGAACTTGGCACCGTAGTGCAGCAGTTCGAGTTGCCACGTTCCAAATAGCACACAAAGGTAGACAGGAAAATGAGTGAAGGGAATCAATAGAGTTTTGACAAGTATAAGAGTGAGTAATGGTAGAAAGGAATATGAAAGATTACAGAGACTGAATGCATCTGCGCCATTGACAACGATTTTGAGCCATGTCACCTAGTGTCTCCAGCCATTGATTCTTAGAGTCCCGAGGGCCCCAACCCGGAAGTCTGCATCTTCCTACCTGACTCATTTCATGGATTGATGCTATGTTTTTGTTTGGCTACCACCTACTCTTTTCCAACGTCAGTCCTCACGTGATATGTGTGGCTATTAGCCGTGGTATATGAAAAATTTGTTCCAGGTAATCGAGCCTTAAAACTTAAACAATCATCATTTACTAAAAAATAGATCGTCCTGTAATTTATGACTGGAGCAGCCCACAGTGTTAGGTGTCGAGACAGATGCTGAGCTGTGGAAGTTGTTTAGTGATTGCTAGGAATTAGAGTATATGCGTGACGGAATATTGATCAAAGAGCATAGTAGTGGACTGCTGCTAACCTGACGGTCTTGGTCTTGCCATTCCTGGTAAAATAGTAGTCAGACAGCGTTGTAGAGTTCCGGGATGGGAACTATTACTGCCAGTTATAGTGTAACAACAGAAGACAAGTGCCAGGCAACAGATTCTTTATTAAGAAAAATCAACACATATTTATAGATTTTAATGTACATTATTGTAGATTATTGTTAGCAGAAAATATAGTCTTTTGATTGGTTGTTTCTCACAGAAAGTTAACCTTGCATATCTTTGTGGCTGTGTCAGATCATCTATATGCTAACTGTATCCGCCTACGCAAAGCCTTTGTTCTCATTTTCTCACCACTAATATTGGGGATATAAACATTGACGTCAATTACTGTCTACCAACTTTGGCTAGCAGCCAGCTCTCACCACAATAGCAGCTTGCGTTAGTTTGTATACCAACAAACCTTAACTGAGAATAATGATAATAACAGCTTTATTCCGGACCAAATGATTACGCAATATACAGAATTTTTCAGCTTACTTTATTGCATAATATTTCCTACTCATCTAGCGTCTTCAAGTAAAATATCAGTCTATAGCATATTATGTGACTCAATGCTGTTCGATCTAAGCATAGAATAATAATCCTTTATGATAATTTCCTTTCGTCTCCCCGAGACATGCACATCAGTAGTTTGAAAGCCAATTAAAAATGTGCGTCAGTAAATTTTGCAATTCAAGGATATAACAGTATTCGCATTTAATGATGTTTACAGTTACGTCTGACTATTGGAAGTAACTTCAAGAAAAATTCTAATCTTTTGTTTTCATAATCTGAGTAATTGGTAGCGACATCATCTTTAATGGATTTGGTTTCGCTAACTACTACCTATGTAATGAATGATAGTTGAAGGTTAAATAAAAACCCTGCCCGGGATTTAGACCGATAGTTTTAAGATTACTCATTCAGTATTCGGAACTGAGTCCATCGCTGGTAATAAATGTGAAGTGATGAGCAATTACTTCAAAGTGCATCACTTAGTGACACAAAAAATTTTCTGAAGAAAATCTTACAAATGTATGAAGTCTTTTAAGTCCCCTGGATGTGATACCGAAGGTTAGTGAGATTATCTTGACTGGGTTCTCTCTTCAGCTTCGGAAAGGTGCCGGTGTACTTATAAGTGTTGTTTAATCTCAAATGCCTTTTAAGAGAGAGAGTATTGTTCCCTCAGAAATACCATGTGTAAGTAATCTGTTGTTCTTTAAAAAAAAAACAGAAATGATTGTGGATTTTTTATTTCGGACGACCTAACTGATGCTATGATTTGGTCTAGAATCTATTTTCTGATCTACGACAAGGAATTATACCTGGGTTGAAAGGTAATCAACGCATACTGTATCAGCATTGTACTGCTCGTACACATTATCTTACAAAGCCAAATGAACGACAAAATATGGAATGCAACACAAACTGATTTGGTTTAGTCCATTCTGTATGGCACATCTTTAAAAGACGGTGTAGCGATAAATAACTCACCAAAATTAATAACATACAGCATTCGTCACTCAACACTGGATGCTGGCTGACCCTCATTGTTTAAGAAGTCGACTAGTCTAGCTGAATGCTGCAGCCAAGCGTCCACGCCGTTTGTCAAGTCGTCATGTTACGTTCATTCGTTCGTGTACAATCCCCAGCTAATTAAGCAGTCATCTCCACACTACGATTTGGTCCCGAAATATGCTTCGCATTTTGGACGATCACTTTGGTGTTTTGCTTTGGCTTTAGTCTACGCGGAACGAGTACTATAGAAGTTGTGAGTATTAGATCTTGCGTTACTATGCATTGCACTCTCCGTAAACGTCTATACACCCTCATCCAGAAAAATGGTGAGCTCTGCCACCAACTTTCTCTAATTTGGTGTACACGCAAAAACAAATCCGGTTAGTCCATTCAATTTCGCATTTGTTTTCTTGTTATATTTTAAGTCATAACTAATTAAATCACATTAATCTCGAAAGTGTTCTGGAGTGAATCCTATGATATCTCTCATATTCGTGGTTTTTATTGATGAACACTAATCAGAATTCGTTCTTACCGTCCTCTTCTTTGTCGATTATACAAATATTTAGGGATTAAGAGCTGTGGGAGCAGGTTCCAGGAGTTTTTTTGTAAATGCGAAAATTAGCACCATGGCTGCTAGTAGACAATTTTTGAACTTCCACTCCAAGAATTGTGGTTATGAACTGTGAAGCGCTATGCTAATTGCAACTGAAGCTACTATGCAGCCGTAGTGAGTTTTTCACTGGCTCTAAAATAAAACTAGGGTTAAAATAGATAGATCAAGCTGATCTAACTGAATGTTGACTAAATAAGATCCAAACCACCTGCGGCGGACTCTTTGCGTGCTTCATGATTATTTTTAAAGGATAAGTATCCTCACAGGTTCTAACGCCATTCTGTGCTTTTCTTTTGTCCTGGTAATATGGATATCCTCAGAGTCTTTAGTTCAGCCATCCCAGCCAGAAAAGTTCCAAAACACATTTTAAATAACTGATTGTTTTGGTTTATTTTTTGTTATCAGCAACTGAAGGTGAGATAGTGTACCGTTAGGCGTGTTGCATATATTAAGGCTGGTATAATGTCAGTTCGATCGGTGCTTGGTTAGTTTTTTCTACATCCAAATTGTTCCAGACAAAGTCTTCTATACAGACCATCCTTTAGTCTTTCCAGGCTGTCGAGGCTGAATATCTGGCTTTGAGTAGAAGAGAACATGTTTCCACGCCAGTTTCTGCACAGGCTCAAGTTGCTATCGTTCCAAAGTTCGGTAGTACAGCCTTATTCCATTCAGTTGGTACCTTTTCTCCTTTTAACGCCGTCTGCAATAGCGGCATGAGCGCATTTACTGAGATTTCTTGGAAAGTTTTTGGGGTAATTCCCTCTGTGGCCCTGCTGCCTTCCCGGCTTTAGGTATTTTTATGGAGTTCAAGACTTAAGCTTTTGTGGGATGACCAGTGTTAACTGGCAGTTCTGTGTCTGCTGGTAGTATTTTTGAAATAGTTCTAGGTAACAGGATTTCATCATGAGCTGACATCAGTTAGAGAACCACTGGAAAACCTGGGAGTACTGGACAGCTGTTTCGTCCTAGTTTGGGACTCTTCATCAGTACGCACCCACCGGGATTCGAACCCACGACCTTCTGGTTACAAGGCGAGCTCGTATACCATTAAGCCACTGGGACCCGATCCAATGGTCCATGAATTCTAACTTCTGCCAATTCACGACCCCTAGCCAATGTCTTCGGCGAGTATTTGTCCTCACGCCCGACCTGCTGCACCCTACTGGTCACGACTTCTCACTAGAACCCCAGGTGACTACCCACCTGAATAGGGCAAGTCGCTAGTGAGCATCTCATTGATTTTCAAGTGTTGGTTTGTAGGGATTTGATTGGTTACAGGATTTCATCATGAGCTGAAATCCTGTAACCAATCAAATCCCTACAAACCAACACTTGAAAAGTTCTAGGTAATCTTAGTTATAAAGGGTACTCTGGAGTAGTTCACCCAGTGTTACCTCTTTTTCAGATCTTTGGTAATTAGGTTTATTTCAGTATTTTTCGACTGAAATTGTCCGTCACGTCAAAGGTCATTGGTGGAGTGAGACGCCTGAAGGTCATTTTCGTCCATGTTGGATTGAAGTTCCGTAGCCGTTCGTTTACACATTGATATATACGTTTATTCTGCAGTTATTCATAACATATCTTGATGCGCATTGTTCACAAAAACGGTCATAGGAGTTAACAGCTTCATCTAACTTTCTTTTACATCAGAAACTGAAATCAACAGTCTGACATTTGGAAGGATTTAGTTTAAGAGCATTTTCTGACTCCTGATAGAGAGCTGTTCATCTTAGTAGAGTGTAGCTGCGCATTAACAGACATTGGAATAGTTAGATCGTCCGCGTACTTGACATAGTCCATTTCGTATGCATATGTACATTAAGTTCGTCAAACAAAAATACAATTGGTCGTGGACGACTTCCTCTGACATACAGTGTACTGCTTTCTTCCTGAGAAATAAGAATGCAGCCATTTGACAACCCAACACTCAGTTTGAGTTTCAG